GTTTACTATACATTAATGATTTTATTTTTATTATAATAATTGCTAAATACATGTGAAATTAACAATAGTATTTCAATAAGGTTATAAATTATTTTGGAATAATTATAATAAATTAGACAACGCTTGTCCACTTTGGAAATACAACTCCAGTTAAAATTAATATTTTTAAACTACAGAAGCATTGTTTAAATATGATTCAAATATTGATACAATGTTATTAATATTTATATACTTTCTTTCATTTGGGACACGTTCCTTTTTTAATTAAAAGAGGGACATTAATTATTGTACTTATGTATGTATTTGGAAGAGAAAATTATATATGTATGCATAATAATTACATTGCAAAACTCTGCACTTATAGCATATAGAAAACTTTCACTAAATTATTGTAATATGTATATTATTTGGTATAATTTTATCACAATATTATATGTTATATTTTATATATCTTTTCTATTATTGTATTTCAATTTACTGCAAGATTTTAGTCTGAATCCATTGAAAAAGGAACTTAAATTGGTTTAAACCGATACAAAAATTTAAGTATAATTCATTAACTAAACATTTATGGTTACGAATTTATGAAATACATGAATCGTATCAATTTCAGCAAACAAAAGTGATGTTTAAAGAAGTGAAAATTCAACCAAAATACCAATTCATATTTTAATCACAATTCACATAAAAATCATAAGGAACGTAGTTATAAATAATTTGTCATCGAAACTGAAATTATCTACGTCTCGCAAAACTAAAACAATTTTATTGAACATTTCAAAAACTTCATGTACTAAATATATCTTTGGCAAGTTAAAACTGATTCTGACATTGTAGTATATACGGGGTATTCTTTTTCTTAACGCGGATATAAATTCCTGCAGTCGTCTAACCGAGTCGGTGAAAGTCGAGCGAGTTTATAGGCACAGTGACACGATGCAAACGATTTTTCGAAATGCGGCGAGTCGAAACGCGGTCACAATACATTCTCTTAAAACGAAATTGAAGAAATATGTGCTATGTGATCTTCAAGGTCCGAATTAAAAAAAGAACAATTGTTTCGGTTATGAAAATCTTCATGAAAACTGATAAACATTATATCAGAAGAATATGATAATTAATGGAACGAAAAATAAAAAATGATATTAGTACAATTAATATAGTATCCACCCATACGCTTATGTAATATATTTTACATATTGAACGTGTGTTAAAGTTGTGTTAAATAGTATAATTAATATTATCATAAACCTTAGTTCGCATATTTTCAGTTAGGATACACTTAATTAAACAATTACATACAGCTTATTGAAAAAGAATGACTAAATTCGGTAAAATATGTAATACATATAGACGGGTGAATACTTTTATGAGTAACAGTCTTTTATTCTATGAAAATTGTATATTCTTCCCTGTTGGTAATATATATTTTATTAGCAAATTATATTAGATTGAGTAATATATTTTTATATTTTTCTAATCGTTTAATCTTTTTCTTTCATTTTAATTGGACCGTTTTTAATATTTTTAATGCTTCTGCCTGCCGCGATAATAGGGGAAATACATGCACTTAACATACCTAGCCATGAAAGAAAATGTATTTCTGATAAAACATTACGGTAATTCGATGGTCTTAAGGAACAAAAAGTTGATTACCCCGTTACTATGCTATCCTTTCCTGTCTCAGAACTAATATCATTTTCTTTGAATAGCCAAGAAATGTTGAATCTATGCTCTTCTTTAAATACCGATCTCTAAATCGAAGAAAATGAAATATCGCTGGTAAAAGATTTTTTGCAATCGTAATTGTTCAAACAGTTTAGAAAGTATAATGTTTTAATTGAAAAAAAAGTTACCCCGAAAGGTATTGCCTAGTTTAACTGTTTCTTTAAAGTTTGCTTTTCGCAATATTAGAAAGAAGCCGTACGTCGATTCGCGTAGCAATTTACGAGACGGTTAATGAATGATTGAACAGTACCCGTAATTACCAGCCGTATGATAACCTTCGACTGAGCAGCTTATCGTACGTCGCGTAATCTACAGTACAGATACAGCAATCTCGGTTTTATATTCCAATATAACACAGCGGCGCTCAGAAATAAATTCTGACACTCCTTCAATGGCGAAAGTGAAATCGATTCCCCGTAGAACAACATATCATAGAAGGAATCAGACGTCATGCTCCATTTTCATTTTATCCAATACAACATGATAATGCCTGCTCCTTTTGTTTCGATTTCAATCGGTGCCTCCTTTAAAATTTATCAGTGACAACTGCGGTCTTTATCGCAATTCTGAAACGTTGATTACTTACTTTCGAAAAAACTGGTATGTACAAATTAATTCTCCTTTTATTATGAATCAATTATTAGCAACATTCGAATTCGACACAATTACAAAACAACAGAATTAAAACATATTTATTCATTTGTTAATTAATTAATTTATTTATTAGTTATTTAATTAATGAGTTAACTTGTTTGTTTATGTATTTATTTAAAAGAATTTATTGCATATTCGGTAATAAAACTAATTTGCAGAACATCGAGTTGTAATAAGGTAATGGTTACATCGTTTTACTATTAACAGCATATCACTTTTAAAATTTATTGTATCGATTCAATTTTTCTTCCTCAGATATAACTGTTTTTCTTAGATAAGTATTTGTTACATAAATTTGACAAAAACATATTATGAGGAATTGGATTGCATATGATTAATTCTTTATTAGAAACTTTAAATGGAAATTTTTTAAAAATAGTTTTCGATACAGTCATAAAGATATTCGCAGAATGAAATAACAAATTGAAAAAAAGGTGTTTCGTTTTAACCCAATTTCTGAAGATTTAGTGAGTCGTTAAGGGGTTAAAAATAGATGAAACAATTACAAGTGCTGTCGGAAATACACAGGAGAAGCGCCGCTGTTAAAACGTTAGGTCAACTTATTTAGCAAACTATAAGCTCAAATGGAAAATGTATGAATATACAACATGTTTCCAATTTTTTATATTATACAACAAAACAATTGTGTTGTACTATTTTTAGTGAAGATTATTCAATTTTTTAGCTAACACATATTTCGATTGTTAATTTATTAGTAGCAGATGCACTTTTATTATTTATAAATAGATTCGATGTTTAAAATGCTGACTATTCCGTCGTAAGTCTGACAATTTCGAAATTAATCGAACTTATTTCAAGTAGATTAATATTTTCACTGTTCGAAAATTTTTTGAACTTTTAAATATTTACGAAATTTCTAAAATACTTGACCTGCATGTTCAATAATTTTGAACGTACAATAATAAGAAAGAAATTTATGACAGTTGTTTAAAATATCAAAGTATTAAAAGGCAAACAAAATATTTGAAAAGATAATACGCTCTAACAAATCCATTTAAAAGAAGAAAACAGGATTTTTAGAACATTAATTTCATTCTGCTTCTTTGTATGTTTTTATGTTTTTTATTTATGGTCAATTGTCGCCATCGCGCATTATATATTACACTCGTATGTATAAATAGTAGTAAAGTTAACATAAAATATATCTTCTAAACAGGAATCAAAATTATAACCTTGTGTTTATGAAACACAGTGTTTTCAGTGCTTATTTATCAGATTCAGATTTCATCATAGTAGATGCTTGTCCCTAATTACTTATATTTTTAATTTAACAGAAGTTATTCGATAATTGCACCTAATATTTTACAGATAGGTGCATAATTGGCTTCTGTGCTACTATTTTGTAAAAGTGTGTTAATATGTTACTGCTAATCATATTAAATACTAATTTATATGAAAGAATAGTAGATATTATATTTGTAATAGGTTTGGTTAAATTCACAAAAATTGTGTTAAATTTCATTAAACTGTTTTCCTTTCTTGCATTTTACATATCTCCAATGATTACAAATATTCTCGATCTATTTTAGAATTATATAAATCTCACTGGATATTATTTCACCAATACCAAACATTGTTTATAAGGTTTGCTTTTAAAAATTAAAAAGATACATTAGGGTAATAATTTAATCTACGAGTGCGAATTTTTATGACTTTTTAATTGGTTAAATTATTTATAGAATTTGTAAATAATTAAAAATTCAATTCGAAACCATCTAAGAAAAAAAAATAGGAAATTGGTTTTTCAACAATATTTTACTATTAACCCCTCGCCTTACGATTTATTTCGTCTTACATGTTTATGCTTATGCTATTTCATTTCATCACAACTTTATTAAACTTTATTAAATTCCTTTATGAAAATAAGAAGATTATTTTGCTTATGTTACGGAAAATTTATGAAATAAATTACAAAATCATGTTCCGCACGGAGGGCAAGCGCGAGTGGACTCGTCATTTTCATTCAAGGGGTTAACATGGACATAACCTCAAACCTTAAACTAAGAGAATCAGTTAATTTCGAATATGTATGATTTCTATACTGCACGTACGGGGTTTACTAAAGAAATCCTAACAATTCTATACAAGAAAACACATTAACCTTTCTACTTTCAATTTGCGACTTCCATTATAACAGTAGAACAAAAAGTAATAGCCTAATTGTGCAACAGGTCGCCGATAACACGTACGAGTTCGCAGGCGGCAATTCCCAACGCGAAAGTGTCGTTATTTTTACACGGAAAGCAATCTTCCAAGATGATATCACGAGACATATGTTTCGATATCGCCTATTTCCCGTGAACGTGCGTCGACCGGTGTTGTATCACGGTCTCGTTCGTTATTTCTACGAAGACGAGCGGAAAACCTGACGCGAGCACGCGACTCCTTTTCTTGCTGTCACGTCGACAAATGCAAAAATGCGCATTGCTATGCACACGTAGATGAAGGAACGCACTCACGCACGCACGGTATTTCTGCCCGGTCAGAGACGCGTGGGCATTAAAAGCTCGACACACAGAGAAAGAGAGGAACGAATAGATATAGAGACAGAGAGACAGAAAGACAGAGAGAAGGCGAGACAGGTGTGTTGTATTTACCTTAGAAGTTGGCGGTCCTAGGCGAGCTACGTGCGATTATCTTCGACACGTGTCCATCGAAGTAATTAATTCATTACACGAGCACAGAACCCAGATCGATGGATTTCCTTTTCCCCTTTTTCTCGCGGAAACGGATAGATCCTGGCCGACCGAACTCGCCGTTCCCTTCCTTTCTCTAGTTTAAATAATCCAACACTTTCCAATTGGCACTGTTCTCCTCGGCTCTTTTTCCCCCGTTAATCGGTCACAATAAATCCGGCTCTCGTGGGTTCCCGGACGGTTTTCAACGCACCACACTTTCCTTCTCCGCCCGGACACTTCGGTTTCTTCACTTCAATATTTCTGAACGAGCTTTCCGTTTATTCCACCCGGCCGGCAGAGCGGATCGATAACGACTCGCGTTCCGCTGTACCTCTCCGTCGAATTCCCCGCTGGACGCCTGGCATCCGATGAAATTACCTTCGATTCCCGGATGGACGGCACTCTATCTGTACAACACGTGGAAATTATTCGTGGTTGATGGGGAGAAAGTTCGTCGGGGATCGTTGTCTCGAAACGCTACGTGAAATAGTGCCCCGTCTGCGGGCTTATCGCGCGGGATCGAAACGACAGAGACCATTCGGAAGTTTCTTTTTTTTTCTTTCTCGAGCCGCGCAGGGGAGACCTGTTGCGTGCGTAGCGGTCGGGTTTACGTTGTTTCCTCGATCACGGGCGTTCAGGAATGCGCGTGAGAGGTGAGTGAACGAACCACTGCTTCTATTTTTTTTTCCGTGAAAGCTTTTGGCGATCGTTATGGCGGATGATGATTTTCGATTCCGCGAACCAATTACGTCGAAATGTTTACTGATGTGATATAACAACACTTCCCACAAAGCCTTATCTGTCATGAGTAAACAGACTGTTGGCCCTATCATCTACTACTAGCTCTGTATTCGTTTTTGAAGAGTGCAGAAATGGGCAAACGAAAGCCTACACAAAAATAAGAAAACAGTGGAAAGCCTAAGGAAATGTTTAATAGTTAAAATTGTTACAAAGATTCCTGCTTGATTTTAAGAGTGTCACCAACATTTTTAGCCGAAACCTTTGATAATTTAAATATTATCGAAACTGCTGCAAATTATGCAAAAGACATCCGTGATCTCGTTGATATGCTAAACGACATTTATCGATATCAGTTTTCGGCTTCACTGCGTAAACAATGTACAATTCAGTTGAGAAGCGAGGATGACGTTCAAGGCAGCATTGTTACTGCAAAAGACTAGATGCAGCTGGAAGCTGTTATTAAGCTTACATCGCTAACGTGACGTTAATTGAAGGTCCATCTGAAAAATTAGGAACATTTCTGGTTTTTGTAATATCGCTGAACGTCAATATGAGATTTTTTATGCGATCAAATTCTTTTTCATTCACACAGGAAAAGCAAAAGCGTATAATTGTTAATAAAAATGTACGAATAAAGGGCAAATTCTGCAATCACAGGCAATTTGCATCGTGACATGGAAGAACGTTTTCTCCGACATCATTATTCTGCAAAAATCTTCCATCACTCTACTGTCCGAGAAATCATCGTGAATCTGGAGGCTCCGATATTTTTAGTTGTTATTGCGTAATCATTTGGAATGCTCAGCAGGTTCGCAGAACGCTTAAGGTTTAAAAAGCTTCGAAGACATCAGATTCAGATTATAATACTCCGAAAAACTGTAGACCCTCAAAGTCCACTCCCTAATCTGTCGAGTTGCCCAAATGCATATTCATTTGTTGATTTCATTTATATTTAGAAATTGATTTGTAGGGAAACGTGTCGTCGAAAGTACTTCGATCGCGAAACTAATCACGTTCTTTTATGTATATTTCAACTAAAACCTGTTCCACTAATTATTGAATACCACACCGCAAGATGAATAAGAAACGTAGTATTAATTATAAATGCTTTCATTTAAAAAATGTCAATATTTATTCGTTAGTCAATGTGTTTTGTCAATCTGAATTGCTTCAAATATTTGTCTGATATTTTTCTGATCATAGTTTTCAATCATTTTAATGGATTTATTTTACGTAATAAATTAAGAGTCATGATAATTCGTGACTGAACTTTGCGAATTTTTAATTGAAATTCTATCGTGTAATGCAAGGATTTATAAGAAAAGCAAAATGTGGATTCAAAAAGACGCCTCGCGGAAGAAACGGGCCAGCGAAAGAAGGACGGTAAGAGAGATTTTCTCTTCTCACCGTTCACTTCCTTTTCGAAGTGAATATCGCTCGTTCCCACCGAGATCTCGGGGCTGTATTGCGTTAATCTTGAATTTCTCGAAACTTGAGATTAATCTTACGAGGGATGTATAACTATTATTCGAAAACGAAGGTTATCGTTATAGTGGATTGTTATTTTACAATAAGAATCGTATCAGTCAAAAGCTTTGTTAAAATAACATACACTCTCGCTCGTAAGAATTTTAAAACTTGTTTTCTAAAAAAATATCGATCATTTCAAGTCGTTGGTTCGAAAAGTACGAGTGTTTCAGCGACTCAATGTACACACTGGGATAACGAGATACCACGTGTGCTATCGTTAACTTCTCATCTGTATATTCAGAACTGTCTTTTTCTGAATGATTTATAAATATCATTCGATGGTAATATAATATACTTTTGCAAATTAGAATTGCGTTTCCCGCGTTACATTTACCAATAAATATCCTGAAATTAGGTTAGCGAAATAATGGTAAATTTTCAAAATTAAAACGCTTATTTTTCCTCAATATAAAAAAAGAACGTTTTGCATTTTTTGTTAATCGGTAAATCCTCTCTTACTTTCTGGCATCTGAATTATTTGATTGGGTAACGAATGATATAATTATTGAATATAATCTGGCGATGTTATCGCATTCTATTATCAGGCATCTGTTTAGTTCAACAATATTTGCAATTATTTATTTATTGCATAAATACCTCGAACAAAGTTGGTTTCAACAGTAATCAATGATATTTAAATTTGTAAAATATGCTCTAATGTAAAAATGAAATATCTTCCTGCAAGACATAGTTTTTAATCGCTTTTCTCTTAAATTTGATTGTTGCAAAATACAGTTATATTCATTAATATTCCTGGTATACTTTTTAATTTGATTTTGCGTTACATCGGGAAAAGTTCTTTTATTCATTTGATCTGTAATAAATGATACGATGCAATAATAACACAATGTCGGCTTTTATTCCTTTCATTCATTCGAGGATGCGCTTATGATCGTTTCTGTTCGTACGTGACGATAATACTAATCAGATGGTTAATTCGTTACCCATCTACAAGTATTATTCGCCGTTTCTTCTTCTAGTGTGCGTGTTCTTTTGCAAAGTTTCATCAATGTTGGGTCCGATGCCAACGAACTAAAGGAATATTTCCAGTATCCCTTTCATAGACATCGTCACCTTCGAAATGAACAAATAAGAAATTTCAACACCGTCCCATTCCTCTAATAGTAACTTCGAACATTTTTAGCAATGAGCATACACCAGTACGCCTATAAAACCGAAAATACGAACGAGTACCAAGAAAACGAAATGAAAGTTCAAGCTATCATTTGCCTGCTTCATTTTCGTGACGAATGCGGAGGAGACCGAGACGCTTCTAGCTCACGAATACGCATACGTCGCATTACAACAAGCTAATGCTTTTGAATCGTTTGAAGTGAAGAGAATTCCTCGCGCACGTATGCACGAGACCATCGGAACAGCGTATACGCGCTATCTGTCTGTCCAGTGTAGAGTGTAGGTATTGGGGAATTCCTACCGCCACCGAAGAACGCAACAAGTTGACTCAGCGGAGCCCGTCCGAGGGTCGCGAGAGAACCGGCCGAAGAGAAAAAGAGGAATTCAGCACGCGACGGAAACGCGTTTCCATTTCCCATTTCCACCGCGATCGTCTCCAAGTTCTCGCCGTGTGTTACGAGGTCACATCCGTGTAGGTACGACCGAGCGTGCTCGCCTGCGCGCGCTTCGAACGTTGTTCTTCGTTTCGTAGTTTCCAAATCGAACCTAATTTTTCGACCGAGTAAACGCACAGTGACATTCCATGAAACGCCACTAGGGAACGATTCCATTTGAGTGTCAGCATTCAGCTGATATTCGAACGAAGACCGAGCGACACGCGTTCGTTTGCCTGTCGATTGATCGGCAAATAAGCGAAGTCACTGATACAAGGGTCTCACGGCCGCGTTTCATTGTGCAACAGACCTCAAAAAATAAGTATTTGCATACACTCGTTTCGATTGTCGCTTGTCCCTCGTTTCTAATTGGCCTCCGGAAAACGGTTTCACTTAAAGCAACGTTCAACCGCAACGAAAATCGAGCGAGGCGTGTTCTTTCGCTCGTCGGACCTCGATCGACCGGAAGATAAGCGAATCCACGGAAACGGGGGTTCCGTGGTCGCGTTTCATCGTGCAACAGGCTCTGTGAAATAGAAACGGTACGAGAACCGCGACCGTTAACCACGAGGGACGAGAGTACGCGAGCGTGGCTTAATTTGACAAAGGCGGCGGAGCCACGTTGGACGTACGCAATCGCGCTTGATCAATCGTGCAGGATGAACCCGCGTCCACATTCCGGGTGTACTGTCGTTTCGTCCGGCCGATCTCGCCGTCTGCTTTCTACCGGCGGTGTATACCGTTAATTGTGCTCGATTCGATTTGATCGGGTCCCACAAGATTTCGCGGCTCTCCCGGTGCGATGCTTTAAACTCTCGCGAAGAGGATCGGTGTGGAGGCGCGTGCAGATCAGCGGGAATGCGGGGAAACGACGAGAGCGGGGGAGGGGAACGATTGGCAGGAATAATAAGGAAACACTTCACTGAAATTCCTGGTTCGACACGGCCGCGTGGAAGAAGCGAGACGTCGCGTTAATACCGGCTCGACAAATCGGGATCGGTTGCAGATACACTTGGCACAAGTAGTCTCGGCTGACCGAGCGCCCGATCCGGACTGACTATAACTGTAAACGATCACTTGTCGGTGCCAAGCTTACCCCCACCAGGTGTCACGAAACGGATCGTTCCCCACTACGGTGTGTTCGTGTCTGGCTGCCTGCGCGCGTGTACGTGTGCGTCAGAACGCGGCGAGCCAAGCCGAGCTGCGCGCACCATGCCGCGCCACGCCGCGCCACGCCGCGCAACGAGTCGACGAAACGCGCGAGCTCCTTGCTCTTCCAAACCAGTTCCTCCCGATGCACGCCGTCACTTCCACCTTCATCGACTCTGATTCAGAAGCGTGTGTTCCACCTGCCGCTACACCGGCGGGATCGACCGAATCCAAAGAGAAGAAATATTTCCACCTTGAACCGCTTGCCTGAAAATTGACCGCGGGTGGGATGCGTCCGGAGGATTACGGATGCGACAGCGACGCTTGCCACGTATCCAAGTTTCGCCGGGGCTGCCCTCCCGTTACGCATTCCGCCGCCGTCCTATTTTCAGGGGTTGCGTGTGTTTAACCCTGCCGCGCTACTCGATTTATCAATATGTTTGAGATATTATTGAAAAATATAGGAGCTCTTAGACTAGTAAAAAGAGTTTTTATCAGATTAAATTCAAATTGCTTTGGATAGAGTGCAGATGCGATTCATTCGAAATAGACTGAACGAACGAAGTGAAGCTGAGAATATGAGAATGACTGATGGTTTAATGTGTAGGGTTAATATTAGGTTTCTAAAAGTTTATTGTACACTTTATTTAATTACTCCTGAAATATTGGACGTCTATTTATATATATCTTATAAATTAGAGGCTTAAATTAATGGATTGCATAAATCTCGCTTAAGTGAGTTGAAGAAATTCGTTTTTGTAAAATACGTTTATTATCCCTGTGCACTAAAAAAATTATAGTTTGAATATGATTATTAAAAAAATTATTTAAATTGCTTCGTATCAATCAACTGTTCCTTGAAGTATAAATATAATAATTGAAATAACACAGAGTTATCAAAAAAGAATTACGAAAGAGATTGAAGCACTAAGTGTTAATAGTACGCTGTTGATTTTTACTTACTTTTGAGTTACTCTGTCGGCAATATTTTACTTTTACCACCGATAAAGTACCTTATGTCAGTGTAATTTAAAATAAAATTATAATCCAAAGAGTTAACACTAGAATCACTGAGCAGATAGACAAATATTTTCTTGTTTTTTTATATACATTATAAAAATGCATTGTCTGAGAATCAATGCGACTTTTAATATTGCATTTGCATTAAAAAATGAATATATTTTTCACTTTTCACTGACAATGTTTTTGTGATTTCCATAATTGTATGAATTAAAAGTTTTAGTATTCAAAAATCAGGTTAAATAGCAAACAAAGTAAATATAGTAAAATAAAAAGGAAATAAACGTTCCCAAAGCGAAACATGAGTCTGCAAAATCAGACAGAATAGGTAGATGTTTTGAATATCGTGGCTTATAATATTTCACAAAGAAAATACTAGAATTAGTTGTTAATGAATTGAACCAAATTTGAATTATAATTTAAACGTTACGTAAGCATCTAACGGAGCTGAAGAATTTCGGTGAATCCTGATAGTGTAAAAATGTATTCAACCGTGGCAATGTCGTATCGCGTTAAGCGAAGGCGTTCATTAAAATTTTATGAATGCATGAATATTTACTGGGTGTATCTAATTAATGATGTGCTTAAGCAATTTAATCGAGACAACAATAATGGACGTCGCCAGCACTTTCACGCTGACTTAACATCGCGTGGGCTGTTGATAGAGAAGAAGTATCTACTATATTCCTTGATCTAGTGGTCCGCATTTCACAACGGAATTTTTGAGTAAATGAAAAATAAAGAATCATTCAACACATTTGATTAAAAATTGTATTTCACAGAAGCAAGAAAAGTATTTATTCAATTGCAAATATTGTGCATTGTATATACATTAACCTATTTGCCGTCCACGTTGCACTATGAAATGTTGATAAAAACTATTTTTATTATAAGTTATTTACAAAAATACGTTTTAAAATATCATTCGATCTTCAGCATTGATGATACATATACTGAAAGAAAATGTATGCATCATTGCACAAATACGAAGCCTTGCTTTAATTTTATTCCAGTAGTAGCCTTTTAACGGAAATAACCCACGAGAACATTAATCGGATGGTTAAGAAATATATGAATAATTGGATAAAAGGTGCAAAATATACATAAGAGCTACAATATGCATTTACAATCAATGAAGTGTACACTTACATTTCAAATGATTTTTAAAGTTATATAATAAATAATTTTTTCTATCTAGCTTGTACATTTTGTCTTATTCTTCATTTGAATATTTTTTTAACTACAGAAATATAATTTTTTCATTTCATTCAAGTGTTATAACGTATTAAACGACGTGGATACCTACAGTAAAAGGAAAAGCATTGGAAGGTCAGCAGCCCTACACACCGTGACACAATAGCAATACTTCGTGCAGCATCAAATTCTTGTGCTAGGGCAAGAGAAATTGCTTGCAAAGTTGATGTACATACTAATATTCAAAATGTTCGACATGTGCTGCAAATGAATAATATTATAAACCGATCAAAAATAAAAGCCAAGCCATGATTAACAAGGAAACATAAGGAAGCACACCTTGAATTTGCGAAAAAACACATACACTAAAAGAAAACCTGGAGGAATGTAATCTTAACAGATGAAAAATGGTTTTGTCTGGATGGTCCAGATAGTAGTGCATACTATTATTATAACATTCAAAAAGGACAATTAACAAAAATTAAACCACAAATGAAAGGAGGTGGAATAATGATTTGCGCCGGCATATGTTAAAAAAGGAAAACTGATATTAATTTTATATGAGGAAAAATTAATAGTGCAAGTTATTTGAGATTAATGAAAAAGCAAACTGGTAAGTATGCACAATGCATTGTAGCACTGCCATACAAACGGCAAAAATTATTCATGAATATTTTTCAAACGAGAAAATTTCTGTTTTGGAATGGCCGGCACACTTTACAGACTTCAATCAAGAATAATTGAGAACTGTTGGGGATTATTATTAAAAGCTACCTACGCAGAAAGTAAACAATTTGAAAATGTAAATGATTTAAAAATCTGTATTAAAAAGAAATGAAAAAATTTATCACAATCTTCAATTAAGGTATTGTATAAATTGTATAAACAAAAGGATGATAGAAGTAATTGAGAACCACGAAGGTCCCACACATTATTAAACACAGGTACAGTTATATCATTTTCATATTTGTCTATTTTAAATTTACTTAATATAGAATATTTTTAGACGTACTATCAGTTTGTCTGTATTTTGGGTATTTGTATTTTTACTAAGAGAATTCGTTGAAGAAAGGTTAATAATAGTTATGTTAACATATTAGTAGACGGTAGTCTTCATGTGTCATTTGCACCTTCCCTATGCCATAATTATAACACGAGAAATTAAAGATAGCACACTTATGCTATCTTTCTCTTTAGGAGCGTATATTTATTACCTTGATTTTTGAAATTTAAGCTCAATTGAGAGAACGTTATCGCGAGAAACTATTTGATTTGATCATGATCAATTTTTTCTATTAGTTGAATCACGTTACATCACTATGATAGTTTAAAATTTTTTACGTTCAGTTTTATTACGAATAATACCAAATAACGTAATAGCAAGTATTTATTTCCAATTTCACAATGCTATGAACGTTCGGAAATATCTTAATGAAATATATTATAAAATTAAAAACAACGGTCAGTCTAGACGTGTAATTTTAACGATGTTTACGCGTATCCTTCACGTGCCTTCTCTGAAAGTTTTATTCAAAAATTCATTAACACGATCAAACTACACACTTTGCAGCTACATACATACCCAGTGATGTTATCGCTAGCATGCAAATAAACGATCATTATTTTTTTATTTACACTGGAAATTCGGAAACAAATGTTACATAAAAAACTACTGAAATTCAAATATGTAAGATAGACATCAACAATTTCATGTAAATACAAAATATCTATTTATCTAATTGTAAGTGTAAGTAGTAGTGATACAAAATCTAAGCAGCAATCGGATGTACAAACATGTTTTTCTTGCCATCCTGTTGTCATTGTTTCAACCCAGAATATCTACACAACAGATAAACCGGTTTAACTGAAATTCAAAATAGTCATTCTGCATATAATTATCTAGTACTTACCATTAGATTTCTCTGAATATCTTCGAGTCTTTATTTGAGAAACAAACCGGATGATTTTATGATTGAAAATCATATTGTCTTGTTTAAATCATAGTTACTTTTTGAAGAGTTGATCTTTTAAAAACCAGGTATGACAAGTAACTCCTAAGCGCAAACTGCATTTTTAAAAACCCACCTCACTTAAACTGCTACATCTGCATTAATTTCAGAAATTTTGCTATAAAACATTTTCTAATTATATTAAATTAATGAAATGAGATTGTCTACTTTAAAATATTAATAACAAGAACTTAGTAAAATATAATTTTATAAATGAAAAGAATTTTCGAATGAAAGTCTCGTTTCATTATTTTCAGCTGTACGGATGTTCTTTTAACGGCTTATGATTAAATTGCGACTACGCTTGACGTGCGTGTACCTTTATAGCAATGTCCAGCGTCTAAAGGGCGTCATTTAAAAAATATTCTGTAAATAAAGTAAACGTAAAACAACTTTTATTAGCGTCCTTACTGGAAATTCTGATTGACCCAAAGTCACTCAGAAATAGTCTTTTAAATTTCTATTTATTTTTTTATTTCGTTAAGTGAAAATAAAAATATCGCATGCCATTTAGAAAATACAAATTAATCTCAAAATAAAATTGTTTACTCATATTATAACTTAAAAACTATTTTAAAATGTTTATACATATTAATTTGTATATTTTGTATATTTTGTATATTTTGTCTAGTTTGTCTATTTTGTCTGTTTCATATAATGTATTTTTATTG